CCAGGGAGTGGTCAAGCATGGCCGGAAGACACAACTTCCTTCACTGGGCCAGGCTGGGCACCCAACAGCACTCACTACCTACAGGCTGCTGGTTGCTGCAGACTCAGTTCTTGAAACCCAAGAGGTATTATTCTTTTAGAACTGACACTTGGGGTGGCCTCACAATGTCTGCTGAGGTTCACCTTGAGGAATGTCTAAAGAAGGTTTGATCACCTTGCCTTTGACTCTGCTTTCCACAGTACAGTATACCTCTTTTAAACACCCAATGTAAAAAAAAAAAAAAAATGGTAGTACAGGGGCATCTGACCTCTTCTAACTTCACAAGGGGGAGGAGAGAGAATAAAGATCATCAGCCCAAGGCTGATTCCTATGAGGTGGAGGTCAAACATACCTCCTCCCTCCAACCTTTTTACCAATTCTAACACCAGCCATCCCTCCCATGGCACTCTCTACTTCTCTGCTGGGTTCGATAATTCATCACAGTAGCCACACAGAACTCACAGATCATACTCACGATTATGCGGTTTATTAGGGAAATAACAGGTTACAGTTCAGGATCAGGAATGACTCAGGATACAGTTCTTCAATCAGGACAGCTTCTTCTCAGCCATGCCTGCAGGCAGGCCTCTCTCTGGCCCTTGGCTTCTCAGCCTCTGCCCTGCTCGGGCAAATGTTATAAAGCTCTTTCGCTCTGCCGATAAGTGCATGGAGGCACCCCACTCTGCCAGGAAGCCTACTACCAAAGGTGCTCAGCTTTCTTGTTTTGTGGGTCGGCACACCCACTGTAGCCACCTTACTTTGTGGGCCTCTCTCTCGGGTCTTTGGCACCTCGGCCCCTCAATGTGGCCTCTGCCCTGCTTGGGCAAGTGTTGCAAAGCTCTTTAGCTCTGCGAAAACTGCCTGGAGGCACCCTACTCTGCCCAGAAGCCTACTACCAAAGGCACTCAGCTCTCTCACTCCATGGGTCGGCATACCCACTGTAGCCGCCTCGCTGCACGGGGCAGGAAGCCCACTGCACCATCTAACGCTGGTCTCCTGGTTCTGCGGCTGCCATTTCTCTACCACTGCATCTTGCTGTTGCATGCCATCTCCGGTGTTACAGCTGTCTCTCTCTGTCTCCTGGGTCTTCTCAGTACAGGACCCCAGGTCCAAAGGATGCACTCCAATCCTGGCTCTTCTTCTTGGTGGTAGTGAGGTCCCTCTTCTGCTTCTGGGATTGGCTCCCTTTAAGCCTAGTGGAGCGGCAAAACTGACCAATCCCCTCATTAGGATTCCATACATCTAATTTGCATGGTCCCAACCCCACAAGGGTTCCATACACCTTATTTGCATTGTTAGCAAGCTGTCCAATCCCCTTGGTGGGCCACAAGCACCTTATTTGCATAGTCCCACCCAATTATTTTGTGGGAATCACAAGACCATGAATGGCTAGAAGGGCCGTATTAAGTAATTCACTACACTGCATGGGGGCAGCTCTCTGGAAAAGGGGCAGAAGGCAAGACTTCGGAAGGTGGATAGTGGGACTCTCAGCAGCCCCATCATTTCTCAAAGTGGGACATCAGCCCCCATGGCACTTTGACCCTGCGCCCACCCTCACCACTCTCAGAAGTGGTCCTGGCAGCTCCCAGGGTATCCTTTGGGATTCCTGTCTGGAGGAGGGGATAACAGGCTTCCTCAAACTCCAAAGCTGAATATAGAGCAAAGGGCAGTGCTTCTCAGGGCTCTGGACTGTGTGGCCCTATAGGAGGTGCTCCCAGAAGAGGTCCTGGCTGAGATGCTGTGTCAGGTACCAGGCCCTCACGTGGGCAGCAGGCTTTGCAGGGAAATCAGTCAGGGTGGCCCCAACACAGATCAGTGCAGGGCACGTGGCACTCGTGGCCTCACCGATGGCCAGGTGAAGCCTTCATCTTACAGGGAGGGACACTGCGGCAGGGAGGGAGCAGGATGTGGAGAACCCTGGGCTCCTTAGTCCGGGCTGCTTGTGGCTCTCTCTTAGTGAGTCCCCTGTCTTTGTCTCTACCTGATTCCCAGACTGTCTGACTTTCACCACCCACTCTTTCCTCTGCTAACTCTCTCTTCCCACTCCCACCCCACCACCCCCACTGCCTTTCAGATCTGTAGGTCCCAGTTCCTCCCCAGCTGCAGGAGGACAGGAGTAAACAGGGCAGACCCCGCAGGTCTGCGAGGCCTTGCTTACCTTCCCCCAGAGGGTCCAGGCTGTGGATCATGAGCTGGTAGATGGTGGTACGGATGGTGCTGTTGTGCAACGAGGCTGAGCTGCTCCCTCGGGTCAGCACGGACGGCAGCTGAGCAAGGGGAGAGAGAGCCGCACAGGCCTCAGTGGGCCCCTGCTCAGGCCAAGGGAGGAGCCCACACACAAGCCTCACTAACCCTGCCTCCCTCTCGTAGAGAGCAGGGAGAAGGCGCAGAAGCCTGATCCTGGCCTCACCTCTTCCTTGGCCTCAAACCAGGAGAGTGACATGGCTTTCTTTCTCAGCCGCCCCTCAGCTCTTCCATGACTGGCTGATTGTATATACGGAGTAACTCCTCCAGGTCTCAGTCCGGAAGCAGACAATGTGTGTTAAAGATAGCACACGTCCAGGGGCTTGTACATCCCCACAAGTACACCTACCCGGAAAGACGCGCTCACGCAGACACTGCACAGACAGACCCACGGAGTGGGCCCGCCAGCCACGGGCACAGCCCTTCACAGTGACGGGCACTACCACGTTTGTCATCTGCCCACCCCACGAGACACCCAAGGTTATGATCCCCATTTTATGGCAAAAGAAAGGAAAACCCAAAGAGGCCAGGAGGCTTTCCCAAGGTCATGTGGGGAGTAAACGAAAAAGTCAAGACCAGCACCCAGGGCTTCTGATCCCCAGCCCAGCTCTTTCCCACCCGTGTGCTCAGAGACCTTCACAGACACACAGACAC